GAACGCAGTTGAGACGTCAAACTGCCGTAGAACCATCTTCTCAACAGCTGCGATGGACAATATTGATCGAACGACCTCCAGACGAGCAACCGGGCTGAAGGTTTCAGCATAATCAATACCAGAGACCTGCGCACATCCTTTGATGACCAATCTCGCTCGATATTTGTCAACACTTCCATCAGGATTGCGCTTTATTCGGTAGACCCACTTGTTGTTAAAAGTCTTCTTTCCAGGATGGAGTTCGGTCAATTCCCATGCACCGTGTTTATGCATGGACGCCATTTCTTTGTCCATTGCTGTTTTCCATTCAGCACGATCTTCTGAACTGATGGCTTCAGTGTACGACTTAGGTTCATCGTCAACAAGAAGAACTTCGGCAAAGTTAGACGAGACGTAATCGTTTAGCCACTCGGGTTGCCTTCTTTCCCGAGTCGAGTGCTGAGTTGCAGGATCGTTGGATAACTCTCCATCTTCACTATCACTGCTACTTGACGGGTCTTCAGTCGGTATAGGCGCATTATTACCCTTTACTGGAGAACTAGGCTCGTCAATAGTCTCTTCAACTTCTTGCCAATCTTCTTCGACGTCATTGGTTTTCTCAATCTTGATGGGCCACTCAACTTTCTTGTCACAGTCTCCGACAATTTCGTGAAAAACGACGTCACGAGAGACTACGATATCTCTTCTCTCTGGGACGTAGATTTGATATCGTTCATCGCCATCGTATCCAACCAGGTAACCAACCACAGCTTTCTTGTCCATTTTTCGCCTCTTCTGCACAGGAACATGGACGTAGCACTTTGAGCTGACCACTCGCAGTTGTTTGATCCTCGGCTTTTGACCAAACCAGAGCCCAAAAGGTGATTTGTTGGCAACTGCTGACTTTCCCACACGATTCAAAACGTAGCCAGCAGTGATGACAAGTTCAGCCCAGATCGCTGCAGGAAATGTCACATTTGGATTGGCATACTTGAAGGTACGGGCCATTTCGACGATTGTTCTGTTCTCTCTCTCTACAGCACCATTTTGCTCGGGTGTATACGGCGCTGTCAGACGTTGGTTAACACCATATTCTCTGAGAATTTGACGAACTTCAGCGTTGTCAAACTCACCACCGTTGTCGCTGAGAAACTCTTTGACGTGATGACCAATTGTGCGTGCTTTAGACAACACTTCACGCAACGCTTCCTTCACAGCAGATTTTTCCCTTGCGACAAAACAGTATCGGTACCTTGAAAAGTGGTCTTTTATGACGATCAAGTATCGGCGACCTCCAAAGGATGGGTCAAACGGGCCGCAAACATCACCGGATAACAACTCACCGGGGGCTGATGGGCGTTCTCGTGTTCCAAATGGTAGACGGTGTGCCTTTCCGAACTGACACGGTTCGCAGATCTCGTAGTTGGCTGGCACTTTGATACCCATTTCGGATTCGAGCATCGATCGGACGTAAAGTTGATCCATGTGACCCCAGCGCTCATGATATAACTGCAGAATTCGATTGTCTTCTACTGCATTAGCACAAACCTCAGATGGTTGAATTGTGTGAAATGAGGCACGATACAAAGTTCCACCACAGTTTCGAGTACCTTTGAATACAGTTTTTTCGTTAATAGTGAACCAACACTCGGTATTAGTCGATTCAAACCTGCTATTAGGGTTTCGATCATGAGCTGCGAGAATGGACACTAAGTTCCGAGAAACGTCAGGAACATACCAGACATCGTTGAGTGTAAACGTTTCCAGTTTTCCATTTTCATAGTTCGCTACTTCAACGACTCCACTGCCAAGAGCTTTTATAACTTCCTTTCCCGTCGCCTTTACTGTTACGTTCGAGTTTGCAGGAAAAGGTTTGTACTCCAAGAACCAACTCAGATTTGACGTAATGTGCCGCGTAGCGCCATTGTCGATCCACCACTGGTCGTTCGTGGTCACGATATTCATGTCACTGCTGATGGAAATCAGCGCACTTCGGTTGTCGGTCACATTAACTTGCGAGCCCTTCGTTCTCTTCTTATCAGTGTCACTCATTTTTGAACTAGTGCTAATGCCGTTACCTCGAGCTGGATACGCAGGCTTGCCGTCAGCTTTCCATTTTGAACACTGGCGAATCCAATGACCTTTCCCCGAACAGTATTTGCACGAAGTGTCACCCTTTGGTTTCCTATTCTTCTGACCACCGCTGTTTGTGGCACTAAGAATGTCACCAGCTTTTGAAGTAGGAGCAACATTACGCTCATGAAGGATCAATGCAGATGAAACATCTTCAAGTTTCTTGCTCTCGTTTGCCTTCATAAGTAAGTAGCTAGACTTGAACGATTCAAAACGCTTCGGCAAAATGTGTAACACTTTTGACACAAACAGGAGCTCAAGAAAATCTTTGACTGTTTGGATGTTACGCGTTTTGAGGCCAGCTGCAAATTCGCGGTTTTGATTCTTCAATCTTGAAAGCACGGTCGGGGCATCCTTGGTATCATCCCATTCCATACTGAAGAAATCCAAACACTGACGAAACAACTGATCTTCTGCCTTGTTATCGAACTGCTCGATCAAAATGTCCCACGCTTCCTTAGCTGATAATCTTCCGGAAATACGTTGATGTAGATCATCACTAACGCACTGAGAATAACTATTTTTGCCTGAGTCGTGGATTTGTTGAATTTCTGAAGTTCTTCCTTTCGGCTTTAGTCGGAGGCTCAGAGAGGGTAGGCTTTTCTCTCTTTCCCTCGACGATATCAACCGCGTCGAACATCTCTAGAACGTCCAACACTCGATCTTTCCACGTCGGCCAATCTTCTGCTCCTTTCAATGGTTTTATACCTTTCACGTATTCCATTTGTAGAGCTGGACGAACTCGATCGAAAGATATACCAAAGAAATAATACTCTTGAGACAGAAAAATACGTCAGTATAAATTGTTCTTACCGTGTACGTAGTACGATGCTGGGCCCATAACCTCTTGAATTATTCTCCCAAGTGGAGGTGTTTAGGGATAATCTAAGCAAAACTACGACGAAAAACGAATTTAAACTATAAAATAATCAAATGTATTTCTCATTAATGTTTTCATGACAAGGAACAATATTGGAGACAAAACAGACAGCTGATAGTAAATAAACATTCACATCATCTGTAGTATGACTATTACAAATAACAAAAGGCAGGCATTTTCAATAAGTACTGCAACAAATTATTGTACAAACACTTTTTATCTATATTTATAAAAGTGGAAGTTTGTATATATATATATATATATATATATATATATTTGAACGTTATGGGCTCCAAAACCGCTCGACATATTGTAATGAAACTTTCAGGCATTATTAAGTATTATTCAAGGATAGTTTGTGTGAAGTTTGGTGGAGATCCGTGAAAAGGGCTCCGCCCCAGTGGCTCTGGAGTTTCCCATGTTAACTTTATGAGTAGGTACTCATATTTAGATGGAATTAAAGAATCTTAACAGCTGTTTCAACTTAACAATTTGATTTTGTGATGATCAATATCATTAAAAGGTTACAAAATGTACCAACAGGGTGCAGCACTATTAATTGTCTAAATTTATGAACTGTAAAGTTGTTAATTTCAACGAAGTAGCTGTGATACAAAATTAGAACTGTCAAAGTAGGGTTGTTTGCAGTTATGTTTAGTATGTGAATAAGGTGTTTTATTTTTTAAGTGCGTAATTCATTAACTTATTACATTTTTTTCCCAAAATGTTTATAAAAAAAATTTCTTGAATTTTTATGGTTTATTTCCCAAAACATAATGTCTGGGAAACGAAAGTAGCCAGTTAATATTTTAAGTCAATACTTTTAGGATTAAGTATAAGTTCATCCACATACAGCAGATCTATGGAATAATTATTCTCTTAAGCGTTCTCTTCCCGTTGCGAAGCACTGGTATGGTGGCTAGTTACTATATAAAGTTACTATATGGGGGGGGTTGTAGTTAAGAAACAGTGTGTAACAATTTAAACATTTTAGAAGAAATTTCATGAAAAACATTAAGTTTATGAAAAAGTTATAAAATTTCATCCCAAAATTAAAAGAAAGAATAACAAGTCCACAAATGTAGTTCTCTGCAGACTCCGCAGCACTGTAAGCTGAATGGACCCACCCTGAACATCAGCAGCACCCTGTACCAGAGCTGTACGGTTTAGCCCCAATCTGTCCCTCGTGGGAATTTATAAGCATAAACTCAAATTCTTTTACTTAACCAATCATCGCTAATAACCAAAAGAGAGCTTAAGGGATGTAGTTTATTATGATCTCACAGTTAATAAACTACGATAAAAGCTAGGTACTTCACTAACTTTTTATTTAGTACTGGACAAAAATTAGAAGCAAGTGAGTAGAAACATGTTTGTTTACTGAAACATTGAAACTAGCACACATAGCAAAAAGATGCAGATACTGTAAACTTGCGCATTCTGCTGCTGATAGCAGCACTTGTCGGAATCACCTAACTTGAATTCTAGGCCAAAAAAATGGGTGTACAGTTTAGCCTCGCTGTACGGTTTAGCCCCGCTCTCCCCTACGTTGATAAAAATCATAACAAACTGTACTATGATGTCTTAACTATCATGGAGTAAAAGTCAAGCCAAAGCAAACTGTTATTGATTTTAGCAAGTAGACTACCATGCACTTGATGAAGTTGTAGGCCTGGCTGTATGAGTATTTCAACAGTACCCAAGGTAAGCGTTTGTGATTGAGAGACTGTTTGAGTAACTTATATATTTTTTTTTTTATATCCAAGAAACGTTCTAATGAAACAGTAGTCTGAATGTAATGTGGAGTAAATAAAAAGTCTGCGAGTTTCCATGAAAGTTTTATCAATTTCTTAAATTGTTAGTACTCCAAAACTTTTGATGCTTTTGGGATGGATCTCATATTTTGGTAGCAAGTTTAGTGGGCCAAGGTGAAGTGATTAGACTTTCAAGTTGCGTGCATTTCACACGTAAAATAAATACTCATTCTGCCCAGCAGGTTTGAACTCACCACTCGATGGTCCTTGGTGAGCAAGAGGTTGGAGAGAGTCATGTCTCGATGGATAATGTTGTGTGAGTGAAGATATCTCAAACCATCCACCACTTGCTTTAGGATCTCCTTGGCTACAACAGACATAACTAGTAAAAAATCTTATTTCTTGAAAGACTAACTCTGTATAAAGAAGGCGTATGGTTGGGTCCTCTTAAATAAAAATCCATGACTTTTAAGTGATTTTTTGGTGTAAAGAAATATTATAAAGCATAATTGTTTTTCCCATAAGAAAAATTCCTTCAATTTTAGAGAACATAAATTTACCACAAAGTAAATTATAGAGTACTGTCATAGGCCTAGTTTATATTTTTAATGCCTCAATATATAATTTATTTCCAAAACACAGTATCACATTAAAAAGGTAAGGAAATAGTTCTGATCTTTAACACGTTGAGTGCGGACTACATCTATTGATGTAGTGCATCACAAGCGCTCCTATCGGCCAACATCTATAGATGTAGTCGCGCCACTCCCACTACATTAATTCAGTATGAACTCAGCCATTGCCCGGGAACGTTATAATCGTTGCCAGCCTGTAGCTTTTGCAAGCTTAGGTAGGTGTAGGTTGTTACTAAGATTTCTGTAAAATTCCGCCTGACATTGCTTTTGTCCCGGTTTTGGGGATTTTTCTCTTCAAGCCACATTACAAAGACGCTGGCTGAATCCAGGCAGTGATGCTACCTTTTGGTGCTTCAGTGAACTATGCCCACTCTCGGTAAATGCAGCACAATCATCACTGCTCTTTTGTGATTCGTCAGACTGAAATATTTGAATGCCAATTGTGTTCGTTGATTCGGTGGTGCGCCGGGGCTTCGCCACTATTGGCGAACGCATGTTTATAGGTTTTCAGCACTCAATGTTATAAAGCAAAACTATTAGGTAGTCTATACAAAAAGATAGCCTATAGGCCTAAATGATTCTAACTCATTTAGACTTCTATATAAAGTAAATAGTACAAAATCCTTTTAAAACCCCTGGCCTGAAGCCATATAGGCTACCAAAAATGTCACAATATTAGTTAATGTGGAGAAGGTAGCTAAGTTAGTTAAGGTTTACTCATGGGACACCCTTGGATTGTTATTTAAGAAATTATTGTTTAAAAATTAATTGTCAATTTCTAATTTTACAGTCCTCTACTCTTTTTTGTAAAATTTCTATTACAATTTATATTAAATAAATAAATAAATTAGTAGCGTTTTAAAAAAACCATTAGGCGCATAATAACGCATCAATAAAAAAAAAAAATATTGCGGACATTTGTTATCACAATTAGTTAAATCATAGACAAAAAGAATTAAATATAGACCGTCAGCTGTGCTGCGGTTACCGTTAGTTCTGGCGCACACCACTTGGAGCGCCATGTAGTTACGTAGCTAACTACACGGCGTTCCAAGCGGTGTGCGCCACAACCTATGGTAACCATGGTAACCGTAGCACGGCTGACAGTCTATATTTAATTCTTTTTGTCTATGGTTAAATACAAAGATTTTACTAACACCAGGAGTAAAATCTTTGTATTTTACCCAATTAACAATTTCAGGAACATCCAAACATTCTATTTCGTGCACCATTGAGTATGAACAGCGTCAAGAAAGCATTTCAGACTAAAAATTCTTATGACTTTGGGCACCTAAAACATCCCCTTTGCATTAAGAATCCCTAAGTAATCAAGATGGAAAATGTCCGCAACAATTTATTAAACAACAAAAAACATTATCCCCAAAAATGAACTTTGAACTTTAACCTTAGATTGATAAGCCTAGCTATGCTGAACAATTAATTTGTAGTGTATCCTTTTTGAAAGTTTTCCTACGGTACCTTGTTCTTCAGTGAAGACAATGTTGTTGGCCTTCATGTAACGGTGCAACTCTCCATTGTGGGCTAGTTCTAGAACCAAATAAACATAGTTCTTGTCTTCAAAGCGAGTGTAAAGTTCCAAAACCGAAGGATGTTTCAGTTGGGAGTGAATCTTTACTTCTTCTACAACCCGTTTCTCCATCTTCTTTTGAAACATCAGGTTTTTGTCAATCTAAACAGAATAAAACACAATTAGCTTAAAGAGTGTTGAAAAGTAATTTAATTGGGATAATGGACACACACAACATTTTCTAGATGTGTAGAGAATTAGCAAACATATTCACCACTAATAACAGGCTTAGTTTATTGTGTGAGTCTATTTTATTCTAGACAACACCGTATCTCCTATTTATCTTTCTATGGGTCTCTTGAATCAAACATAGACCTAGCTGTGTAAATGGCAAAATTCACAAGCTTCTGAACCCAATAAAAACTACTACCAGCACATCTCAAACTTTACACTATAGTAAGTCATTAAACCCAGTTAAATAATTAGAGGATTTATTTTTATTTAATTTTTAATTTTTTTTTTTTTTTTTTTTTTTTTGTATTCCTACAGTACCGTATGGATTACACCATTTTTACAACAGTGACATAATAACAAATTACATTTTAAGGAAAAAAAGAAGACAGGCTTAAATATCCGTATTAAAAAAAACTTACCATCTTGATGGCAACTTCCATAAAGGTCTTTCTGCATCTTGCTCGATAGACAGAAGCAAAGCCTCCTTTACCCAGTAAGTCAAGAACATCATAATCCTGGAATAAAAAATAAACTCAGTCAGACAGAGGCTATACATGTAAGGTTCTTAGGTTGTCCTGGGATGGGCTACATCATGGTGTTCCAGAATAATCACTAATCTTAATACAATATATAATAAGGGACTCTCACAGTAGTAAAATTTCTAGATTCTAAAAATGTTTTAAAATAACTTAGTCCTAACTTTCACTACTTTTAGTTCGGTTTTAGGCTACTTACAAAACATTCTAACTCGCCTAAGTTAACTCCAACTGGTCACCATAAGGAATTGTGATGAGTTGGTTTTGCTAAGCAAAATCAAGTACACCACCAAATATCTTAGTTGCCTTCTATATAAAACCGAAAATAACTTAAGGGTGCGCTCTACCTCAGCTCGGATTTCTCAATACGTTGTTGCTTAACGCCGATGTTCCTATATCATTGCATTGAACAGCTCCATGAAGAGCGCTTGCAAGCCTTTTGATTCTGGGTCATTGCATCGTTATATCCTTAAACCTTTTAATAAACTATTGCAGATTTTTGTCATTAAGAATCTATTGCACTTCCCCCGTTTGTTATTTTTTCTCTAAAAATTATTTGGATGCGTTAAAACTTAAGATAAAATACCTGTAACTTACGCATATTTTAAACATTTTCAAACTAACCCTATAGCCCAACATTTTTTTAAAATATCCAAACGTTATAAAAAAAGCGCCGGACCTACAACAATATTTAACGAAAAATATGACACCAAGATCTTTTAAATCGGTTCACAATTGGGGCTACAAATAGTAAGAACCAAAACCTTTGGATTTGTGCGCGCCAGACGGTTAGAGCGCAGCCTTAAGTGATCATTTGGGCATTCTTAACTTAGTTTGTGTTAGGCCTATAAGTTAGGATATCGATGCTTGCTTATTCAACCTAACTTAAACAAGTCACTTTTTTGTATTTCACTGGAAGCTAGGAAGCTTCAAATAGGAAATGTCCTAGTCTTATCCTTTCCTGACTCCACAGAATCTATCTAGGCCTAATGTGTTTCGCCTATTCTCAGCCTAAATATGACAACCCTCTGAAAAGGGTGGGGGTGGAATTAGATTTTTAAGCTTCCTTTAGTCAGGAACTAAATTTAAGGAATTAAATTATAAAACTACTTTTAAGTTACCAATTCAAAAATACCACATCTTGTGTTGAGGTGATACAGGATGAGTAAGACACAGGAATGAGTTAATTGAAAATGTAAGACAGGGTGAAACCACTAGGCTAGAAATAGGCTTATTGTATAAATAAACTAACCTCAATACGCTGACCAAGTCCTGAGGTAGACATTTCTAGTACAGTAGGTGAAATACTTAGGTTTCATTAAAATAATTAAGAAATTACATCTTAATTATGTCGTCAAACATCCTAATCACATAGATTAAATATAAAGTCAATGCTAAGTTACGAGCATTCAAAAAGTAAACACTGTCAACAGTTGACAAGACAATTGACATAAACAACAAACGAAAAATGAAACGATGAAAGATGAAAGCAAACGTAATGGAGTTCAAAATTCAAAGACTACTAAACGAACGGGACCCTTTAAAAAAGGCGGGAAACCCCAAGCCCATAGTCAAAGTGCAGCAAAATACAAATTAAACATGCTTATACCTTTTGACTTTGTACTATATGAGAGTGGTTCTATGAAATCATTACTTTACAAACCACAGCTTAAATTATTAACTTTCTTTCGTTTAGTTGGTATTTTTGACGGTTTTCTGGCTCGAAAAACAGTTTGTTGGTGGTTACTATCAAGCCCCTGGTTCTGTTGCGATCTATTGTCGATATCCAAACACGTTTGTATTTTTTAATACGTAAATCCTTTAACGTTGAAATGGCGACCTAACTTGGTCATTAGATTACTCTGATCATAGTTACCCTCTTCTTTACCTAAAAAGTTAATAGTATATCTTGTCGTGTTGCTATTTATCAATTTGTTGACGACACCAAACCGTGGCAAACTGCTGCATTGTTGCATTCCACTGTAAAATCCAAATCCAGTTTTTTTTTGGGGTATTCATATCCAGATTTAATGGACTGATGAAAAATATAAACTAGGTGTGTGGTCTCAGGTCCACCAATTTAGCCGAGTGTAGTTTGTATACAAAAAATATTTTTTCCTAAATTTGAATTTTAAATATATCCCTGCCACAGCAAACCTTTAAAATAAACTTTTTTTATTTTCTGCTCCTTAATCATTAGACGCATGAACAATGCTTTAATACCGTATAGGTACTAAAATGAGTCACCGGAAGGCTGCCCCCGGGCCCTGAAGAACTATCCCCCAAGCAGGTTCCTACTGTATGCTACCATTAATATTAATACTCAATGTAACCAAAATCAACCGAAATTCAAGTACGGTAGTCATTTGCTTTGGTTGTACGCACTTTACCTCTGTTTTTCAGTCAGTGGTAAGTGTGTTGCTATTTTAGTGTAGGTAGTCAATGATGAGTGTGAATCTAAATGCCTCGAACTTTGGAACGGGAGAATTATTTCGGATAAACATATATATTTTGTATTTCGCCAATGTCAACTAACTTACTTTTTGCTACACAGTGTACCCTGGGGCAGCATTATTTAAAGATAGCTCGGTTTTTCAAGTAAATTCTTATTTCCTATAGTTTACCTGACAAAGCGGGCTTTCTTGAACTTATTGTAGCACGCAAAGTAGCTAATTGCTGCATTTACTTACTTTTGCCGCACTCCAGTATTCCAACGAAACAACACAAAACAGTGTGCTTTTATTAGGCACGTAATACGTACAAGTTTGAAAATACGTTGGCAACACTTAGTGATATTACGACTACGGTCAGCTGTTCCAGTGTTTCCCATTCGTTCAACACTTGGATTTAACAAATCTATTTCAGTACGTGCTGTAAGCCTAGCTTTTTATTTTGTATCTAAAATCGATTTTCGAACGTTCGTCGAATCGATGTTCGTTGTCTATTTTATATGATATATATTTGAAAAACAAAAATGTTTTCCTACAGTCACCCGACAAAGTTTGCTTCCTTGTACCGGTACTGTTTATAGTACAGAAAACTACTAATTGCTGCATATATGTATACTTTGTCGTACGGTTTATACTTTGGCGCACATCAGGATTCCAACGAGACAACACAAAACAGCGTGGTTCTATTATGCACGTAATCCGTGTACGCTTGGAAATAGGTTGGCAACACTTAAAGATAATAATACTATGAGCAGCTGATTGACTATTATAACTAAGATTTAACCTGTCATTTCGTGTTTGTAGTTGATGTTCTCTTTTCGGTATTTCTGAACTTTCTGGACTTTTTCTTTTAAACGTTTTTAAAACATTCCTACGATCTTAATAAACAAGAAAATACCTTTAAAGCATTGTTTTACTATTTTCTCAAGTCGCGGAGCACATGGCAGGAAAAAATAGCGGAGGGATACGGACCGGGGACTACTTTCTCTAGGTAGGGGGTAGGGCACCTATTTGTGTTGCTGCTGAACCTAAAAACGTGTTGTATGGTGTTTGAAAGACTAATTATTTATATGCCTTATAATGACTGTAGGAAAAATATAATGTGTAACACGAGTGCAAAATGCCTTTACTGCACTGCACTCGAGATCATTCCACTAGTTGACTAGTACACAAATAACTATTCCCTTCCACAGCTCCTTCCCGTTGCGACGGGTATGATTAACGGCTAGTTCCCAAATAAAACTTATGCTTAACATCTTTTACTAAATAAACAAGTAAAATGTACCATGTACCCTAAAATAAAGACAATGAGGAAAAGGTTAATTATAAAAAAAAAACACACAAAACCGGTTTTATAGACAGGGAACCGACGTCTAATGACATCATTATCGTCTTACTGTCTCCAGACCTCTTTGCAGAATGTTTGAAATTCGCAGTCGATGACATGGGATATCAAACTCGCGTATTCTACAAAAATTGTTGTACTTTGATTTTCTTTATGTTCAAGACAAGACGAACGGCAGGGCCAATACTCACAACATGTCTCTTTCAACTATGTACCCGTATAAATGCCTGAAAGTTTCATTACAATCTGTCTAGCGGTTTCGGAGTCCATAAAGGACAAACAAACAAACAAACATACATACATACAAACAAACATACATTTGATTTTATATTTATAGATTTCGACTGTAAGCAATCGCATGTATCGAAAGTATGCATCGATTGTGGGATCGATTGTAGCTTATTGTTCTTTAAATAGTTCAACATATCGATAGTCTGTAATGTGTAGGCCCTACACTAACACAATTGTAATAGACGAAACCATTGAATCACTAATCAGCTGGCTATTTGCATCAGCAGAATTGAAAATAAGCTGGAAGTTTTTTTGAGAGGTTATCTTTACACAACAACAATTATTTTGTTTTCTAGCTTAGTTTGTTAATTAATTATGCAATATGACGAAAACATAGTTCACCACCATCGGTGTTCACCCCAAGGGCAAAAAGTTTCCATTCGCTCATTTTCCGACCTCGGCTTTGCCTCGATCGTAAAACTGTACCTCGGGTCAAAAGGAATCACTACAGTCCCTGAGTAATAAAAATATTACTATTTAGGCGTTTTATTAAGCTAAAATACTTAATTACCAAAGCCAAAAAATGTGGAACGCTTCACGATTTTGCGTGTCATCCTTGCGCAGGGGCCATGCTAATCTTCTCTGTATCGTTCCAATTTTAGTATATGTACTGCCGAAGCAAGTACAGAGAACAGATGAAACGGTTGGGTATATATGCAGCTCATCTGTTGTCATCAAGCGTTCGAGTTGAGGGCATTTTCAGCTGTATATTTTACTATGTTACTGTAATATTTTTACTGTAAAAATATTATTTAAGACTAGCTGTGTACCCGTTCTACGCACGGGGATCTTATAATATTCAGTTGAAACCTTCTTATATAACGAACAGCAGTTGGTTTGCATATTTTAAGATATGCTGGCCAAACTATTATACATAGCTTCATTTTATGTTGTTTTTTGTTGTTCCGGATCGGTATGACAATCAATAAAAGGTTAAATTACCTCTGTGTCTGCCGGTCGATCCTATAACGGTAGGCTTACTTTTATTTTTACTATCTGATCTCGTTTGCATGGCTCAATCACGTCCTGGTTGAAGTTCGTTCGCTACGCTCACTCACCTGTATGTTGGAGCTCGTTCGCTGCGCTCACTTTCCTTCAGGTTAGCTCGTTCGCTACGCTCACTTGCCTTCAGGTTAGCTCGTTCGCTACGCTCACTCGCCTCCAGGTTGCAAATTAGCTGTTGTCATAAATGTAAAAGAAATAATAGTGCTAGTGCTGCACCCTGTTGGTAATCCTTGTAACTTTAATGCTATTGAACATCACAGAACAGAACCAACTTGTTTAATTGAAACAGCTGTTAAGATTCAATAATTTCATTTCTCATAAGGTTAACATGGGCTTCCAGAAATTCCACGTCAAAAATCGACAAAAACTTGATTTTCAAGGGTTTACTGTTAAATATCTAACTGTCTCATATTCGATGAAATACGTCTAAAACCATCTCATATATGTATAGTATTTGGAAAATAAGTTTCAGGCGGGACAGTGCTATAGTTATTGAGGAGTAGTTGTAATAAAGTGCGTATTTTAGCGTTACCAAGAGAATGACAGATAGACAGACAGACAGACAGACAGACAGACAGACAGAAATTGAGATAAGGTTTGATTCGGTTTCTCTGACCTATGAAATGTAAAAATAACCAAAAAGTTCATTATTCTAAGCAATGTACAGACAAAACTCTAATTTTATTTATATAGATTAGATTATTGTGGTCTTAATCGTCTAGTATACAATTTATATATTTTACTTATTTGTAAACAGTTAAATAAATTAAACGAAACTCGTTAGTTCTCGGGTTAAATATCGACTGCGATGGTAGTGCTACCTTTACTCGAACTAACAGGGTGGGGTCGCTGTACACAGAACGTTGCTTTGGAAATAACAGAGAAAGCAGTATCAGAAACGTTTGAACTATTTTTAAACACAAAATTAAGAGTCCGAGGGAGAAAATCCTAAACAAAATACAAAATTTTCGTTGATTGTAGTTTAAACACAAATGCCCTCACAGTTTTGGCAAAAAAAATACAAATACAGCTTAAAATAGTATTAGGGTGTGTCTGGAGTGTCCCATGAGTAAAGTACTGTCCTACACTTCAATAAATGGTTAATATGAGCCAATATAAACAAAAAATCAGGAACGAACATTTTTCAAACTTTTTCAAATCATGTAATTGTAGTTTTCCATCTTTTACACATAGTTTTATTTTTGAAATTAATTCTTAAACCATTTATTATGAAACTTTGTATTTATGAAGGAGGAAGAAGAAAAATGTATTTAAAAAATTATTTCGGAAGAAGAGGCCTCCTTTAGAATAAAGTTCTACTTGTT